AATTTCTGTAATATAAAAAATGATTGAATTTATTCTTGTTATTTACACGTTTGATTTTAAATATATATCTGGCAACGTCGAATCAAAGCCAAATCTCATATTGACGGAGTATTTGCATATGACCTTTTGAAGATGGGACAAAAGTTTTTTTCAAATTAAAGGATTCTTTAATGAGTGAAATATCTAAAAAATACATACTATTGCAATTAAAAGCATAACTATCATTTTTGATTTACAAGACATTTCCTAATATTGATTTATTTTACAAAATTGAAAAACTAAAACCCAGCTTTAATTAGCATTTAATAATAACTTTTGAGAGCATCTGTTTCAAAAAACAAAATGTAAAAGTGTATTGCATCCTTAAAAACACTTTCAATATGCCTTTTATGAGCATGATCCCGTCCTGACAAAATTCTATTTGGTAAAATGAAAAAAGAGAACAAATAGCATTGATAGCTAACAATCTGTTTATATGAATCATATGTAAATTATCGATGATCATTGTTTTTAATTTGATTTTTGTGCTCAATATACCGTTTTAACTAAGCACCGTTCAACAATTCTTTTCAATAGTCCATATGTGTATATCTCATCGTTACTAAAATTAAGTATCATTTCTGAAAATACTGATCCTTTGCCAATGCCTGATGTTCGGTGAGTTTTCGATGGTTAACGTGCTGTCTTTGCTAAAGATTTTTCAATTATATCAATCCATTATGAAATGGATAAATTTCCATTCATGGTTCATCTTTTATAATTTTGAAAGAAAAGTTATTGTTACTCAGTAACCAATCCAAAAGTTTTACTTAGCTTATTAAAGACTTACGGTTATATACTGTTCTTTTTGACATAGTTAATGAGTATTGTATTTATGTCGGCCAACGACAAGTTAGAAGCGAGCCATATTAATGGACATGTTTGCCAGTGTTCATTGACGCATTACCACTTCATTACATCGGTTTTATCTGTGTTGATGATTAAAAACCAGGTGAACTTGTTCATCGAACTCAAGGCATTGGTTTGTTGATACTTTCATCAGTGCAAAGTGACATGAACTACCAAATAGAGATTGTGTATATTTTAACTTTGTCTGATTAATATTTTTCTCATTTTGAAGGGCGACGATAGCATAGTTACTAGTTCTGCTTTTGAGAATCATGGGATGTTTATGTATCCAAACTGTTTCCTTTGTGCCACTGTAGTATCTTTAACTTCTGCTGACTTTGTTCTGTGACCTTTTTTTGGTTGATGCTAATAGTGTCCATCCGCATACTGTCCGATGAGTACAAAACCAATTTTTGCACATTATATCAGTAGACTTAGAGTTTGCAAAGATATCTGTTTTTTAACTATTTTATGAGTTGAATGATTATCTAATCGATGTTGGAGATTTTGTGAGCAATACATGCGATGACTCTTCATCAAATAGTCTATATATATGAATATTTTCTAATCTGCTTACTGTTAATTCTTCATCTCGTACATGTACTTAATGGAATTCGACTCATGGATGAACATTTGACAAAAGTCGTTGTACAACATTGATACAACTTCGAAGTCTTTTTTATTTTTTCATCGCCTTTGTCTTCAATGTCTTTTCTCATCAATATCATTTTTCGTATCAATTGTATTTTGCATACGGTCCATGCTCAGGAATGTTTATATTTTTATTTCTGTTTTTTTTTTGACTTTTTCTTACAGTTGTTTTTCATTTTTTATGTTTATCATAAGCTATGTTTTGTTTGGTTACTTAATTATTCTATTTTTTCTGTATTTTTTATTTGTTTTGCATGGTAAATATATAATTCTCGTTGTTTTGTGAAACATCTATTGGCAATATTACAAAAACCATAACCTTATTCTTTCGCAATTTTTTCTTTCAACTTCGAATTTCAGTGTCAATGAGGAATAGATTCAGAAGCTAGCTAACCATATAAATTTTATTTTAGAACAATAAATTAGAAATAAAAACGAACAGAAATATTTTTTTTGTTGGAGTCATTCTCAATGTTTATGTAGTTGTTCGCTTCTTCTGCTTATCACTATGACGTCGATTCTTGAACCATTGCTACAAGAAAAAAAACAAAAAGATAAAGAATCATATGGTTGACTCAGTAAAATAAACATCAACTTACACGAACTTTCTCCATAGAAACATTTAATTGTGTAGCTAATTGTTGAAGAACATCGATGGATGGATACGCATCTTGAATATAGGTTTGATGAAGTATTTGAAGTTCATGTTTTTTGAAGCATTGATGTCGACGAAGTGGTGTGTGGTCAGTACTAGTTGAGGTATTAGTATCTATAAGAATAGAAAGAAAGAAATGCAGATAGGAAACATGAAATGCTAGTTCTTTTTATATACTAAAACTTGTTGATTTATTTAGAAAACATCTAATACTTACATCTTTGTTCAGGATTAGAGAATACTTGCGGTTGTTGTGGATAATACGAATATGAAACAGGAGACATATTCATCGATTGTGTTGAAGATGAGTAGAATAGATGAGGCGAATGAACAGGACATGGAGTAAACGATGTTGGATAAACGTATGTCGGTATTGATGGTGTATAATGTTCAAAAGAATAATCGTTGGAAGAAAATGAAGAATAACTATTGTTCATAGTTATTAGAATGAATCTTGGAGATATCGATGTGTGTAAATATTCTAGCGTATACTCATTTTATACTAGATTGTGTTCTGTATTAACATAATATATGACGAATGTTCCATTTGCAGGAATATATTGTTTAACAGTGTTCTTAATTGACAATCCTCATGAAAAAAATTTCAATCATTAGCATGTCAATTAACATGCATTATCAACTCGTATGATTATTATCGACAAATATGTTACTATTATCATATAAAAGTTAGTCTATGTATAAAAACTTTGCGTCAATGCAAAAAATTAATATTTATTAATATAAAATAATATTTAACACTAGGTGAATATAAAATTATCAGTAAACATTGAAAAAAATATAACTAAAGCATAATATGTATTGAATATAATTGAAGTATTACAACATAATAACTTTTAAATCTGTTTGTCTACTTTTGAGATTCAAATTTATTATGAAAAAGAAAAATGAATCGAAGATATTTTAACAGAGATGCAGAATCTACACATGTGCGTGAGCGAAAGTTCTGGGAAATTTTTTTCTAAAAATAATGGGCGCCTTATAATGCATTTTCCACTTTTATTTTCTATCTTTGAGGTATTTAACATTCAGATAAAAAACAATTTGTGTAAGCGTGTGTTCAACAAGAGCGATGCTAAAAGTAAAGTATTGCACACCAAAAGAGAGAGAATTTTTCGCTCTATATGCTCACGACCTTAGAATAATTCTAAGTGTCTTTTCCACGAGAATAGAAGTTCCGAACTAATATCTGAGAGTAGTTTTTTTGGTGCATTATAAAAAATTGCCTTATCATAAGTCAGACTCGTCCTATAAAATCCTGATTCTCGTACCATCGGATACATAATTAAATTCTGAACAAAATGATGCATGTATTCACTTGAACAGTTGAAACATTTAGGCTAATTTAAATCAGTCGAAAACAATAGCTCAGTTTTGTCCAGAACTTGCTTTTTTTCTTTACTTCAATATTTTCTATTTCGAAATTTTTCCTCTCAAATATTTGTTCTAACACTTTGAAAGTCACATTGAAAGATGCAGAATTTTGTGTAGAATATTATAACAAATGTCGAATATCAGTACATCCGTTTCTATAAATTGTCTGCAATTTTTTTGTTTATTTTGACTTTCGCACAAATACGGCTGAGTAGGTGTTAATCTTGCTAACTTTGCTGTGACGCAAAAGATCTATTCCAAAAACAAAGTCGATAATTTTGTAGAGAATTCAATTCTCTTTTAACTAACATAAAAACCAAAATTTAAAATAACTGTTAAATACTTCCAAGAAAGAAAATAAACATGTGAAATTTATTATGGAGTATCCATTATCTTCTCTTTTCAGAGAAAAATTTTACGATTTTCTAAAAGAATCTTTAATTGAATTTGATAGTAAGGGAAGTTTTTCCATTTAGCAACAGATTTGACATTTCTGGTTGACTAGATTTTCGATTTCTGGTATTCAAACACTATTCAGAATCAACAACAGCTCAGATGCCGATTTTCGTCTTTGCTTTATTTTTCTCTTCTAATATCGTTAATAGTGTGTTCTATTTCCGTTGTCTATCATCTGCTATCTAATCGAACTCTTCATGGTAGTTGTAATAATCATGTCATTATTGTAATTTTCATGATTGGTCGCTTCTAGTAGTTGACAGATATGGTTTGGTTTGTTTATTATTATCGCAACCATGATGCACTTTAATTTCAACATCTATATTTTGCCTCATTTAGGTCTATATTGATATTGCTGGATTTGTTATAATATTGATTCTAATTTCTTGGACTTCAATCGAATGACATATTTTTACTTCTCATGACAAATTCTTATTAACACGAAACAAATATCTGTACTTCCATTATTTTCTTTGATTATATTCTCTCTATATTCTCTCGGATTTTGTGGCTATATGTTTTTATTATATCTTGTACAGATCCATTAGATTACAATATAATACGATGCTGTTATTCATTTTGTACTTTGTATATGTCACCGATCGATAGATTTGATAGTGTAATAAATAATGTGACATCTACTTTTACTATCGCGTTGTCTTTAGTCTTCTTCTTGTACGTGTATTACGACGAAAATTCCGTGTATACCAACCAATAAAATGGTGAAATTATTGGAATATAACACTTCAATTATTGTTGATTTCAAGCATTTATTGTTTTTTCTTTTATGTTCCACCTTAAGAGTTTATTCATAGAGAATGTATGCTTTTACGCAACTAATTTCTATGTTGAATACTGCTTGATATTTCTAATTGTTGTTAGTATGTATCATATGTTGTAATCAATAAGATTTCTTGTTAACTGAATATCTTGATTAACTAACGAGTGAACGACCGTAATTGATGGCATAATCCAATATGAATAGATGCACATTTATGGATAGTAATTTTCTAAGAAATGAATTCAGCATTAGGAATTTATAGAGCCCTAGCTATCCAGACATTTATAATTGTCATAAATTTGAAAGAGAACCATAGGGACTGTGTACTTAGCGTTGAATTCGTTAGTTAGCAAATAGTCGAGATCATGAGTCCTCGTTGAATATTATTCGGACTGATGCGAGGAAGACCTTTTTTGATTGAAAGCAAAAGCAAAAGAAGATCTTTATATCAGTGCTGATGGTTAAATCGTTTCTGAACAAGTTAGATTGCCAGTGTCGTTCACGATGAAACATATTATCAATCGGACTGATTATTTTTAATTTTTGTCTAACTGTCTTCAACCTAAAAACTGTGAGTTTATATAAGAGTGAACGAATGTCACATGTCACTCATTTGCACTTCTCCATGCTTGTAATGGTCCTGTTATTTTTAATCAGATCTCTTCTTTCTCAATCTCCATGAGGACGTTCTTCCTATACAATCCATATGATTCTATATGCTTTATATACATCCCACGTATTGTTGAATCATAATACTCCCGATTACTACGGTTCTAACCTTTATTTCATTTTTCATTTTATAATACTCATTCCTTTTGTGAGCGCTATCGCGTTGCCGAAGTTTCGAGCGAAGTTTAAAATCTGCATTCCGTTCTGAAGTGAAAGAACAAATACAATTGTTCCTGATGTTATTGGAACACGTCATGAAATGGAAAAGTCTAGAAATCTATAAAATTCAAGATTATAAAGTGGAATTCAGTTTTTGAGCACCTACTCTTGAAATTGCTTGTATTAATCTTTGTGATTTCATTAGTGAAGTTGTGTGTAATAGTATTTCAAGCTACATCATTTTAGAATGCCTTGAATTTTCCGTGAATTCTGCTTCAATTGCTGTTGAACTTTCAAGTTCTATGTGATAGCTACTGCTGATCATCTATCATCATACAAATGAAAAGAAATGTACGAAATATGGGAGATTGCTGCATTAGGATCTGCACACACTAGATCTACTAAGTTTTTGTTAACTATTATCTTCTAGTTGCACAAAGAAACATGACTAATTTTACTTCAAAGTTGCTAATGTTTTGCCATTAGTATAAATCACCAAAGCGTGGAACAGTTGACTCATTTGTTGTGTTTTGTAAGTAAAACGTGAGAATCATTTAATCATTTACTCTGATCTTGCCTTCAGAAAAGCCAATAATGAAAAAGCCATCTAATTAGAGTATTGATCTTTCGAATATGCAAGTAATATGGACAGATCGACAAGGCGTGCTGCCGTTTTATGCATAGTAGTTTAGTCATTCCAGTAATCGTTAGGAAAACAAGAAAGTGAAATGACTTGAGCAGTTCTAGTTTCTTTCTCTTTTATGACAGGGCTTATTAGTTAAAAATGACCTCTATTACTTTTTATTTCGCTAATAGACAACAAAAAATAATTGAATTTATCAAAAACTAGCTTTAAGAATGACACATATTTATGATAACCACTAACAAAAACACTATTTATTATCCTTTCAATAGTGATATCATCAATAAAGACATTTAAAGGATAATAAATACATTTTCGACTTCTCTTGTGACAAGATTTACAACATATATGCAGACGATGTATATATACTATTCTCCTTCCCACTTTTATTGAAGATTGCTCTAGGGTATGTTACATGTAGCCTTAGAATTTCTTATCTATCATGGTATTTCGAAATTGTCGAAACGTATTTAATTCAATAGTAGACACTCTCAGTTGATATATGTATCACATAAGCCCATCTTCAACGCTGTGCGCAGAAAAAATAGACAGATCAAAAAAATTTTCGATTAAAACTTCATTTTCAAATTTATCACTTTTCTAAGCCATATATTTCGGGAAAAGAGTAATGGAACGAAACATTTTTTTATAAAATGATAGTTCATGAAGTTTTGTACAACCGACATTGAGTAAGTTTTGAATATAATGCATAGGTTTTTCTAATGGTGATTCTGTCTTGGGTCAATATTGATATCACTTCCCGTTAATCTTTCTTTCATCTTTCCGCTTTGTTCTCTCTCACAATTGTTCTTTGCTATGTTCATCTTTCTCTCTCGTTCTCTTCTTTCTCACTAAGTGTTGGATGTGACGTAGGGCCATTCTGGAGATTTGAAGTGGCTCATTAGATATCATTACCGAAGGTGACGATAAATTACCCTTCTAATTTGTCGTCAAGTATATGTCATTCTAATCGTTAGAAAAGTGGCAATCATTTTTTTAAAAGATTTATATTTGTGATATCGAATTCATAAGTTCCAGTTCTAACTGATAAAATGCAACTAAACATTCACCTAATTGAACCACAGCTAACTTGTTGTTTGTTTTAGACGTATTGTAAGCGTGCCACAAACTCAAGGAAAAGTATTTTATGTGATATTTTCAACTAACAACCGGCGATGAATAGCGAAAATAATTGTATGATCTTTACTGGTTTTTATTATAGGATATAGCTCCGTTATTTTAGAAAAAAGGTTAACGAATGTATGGATGTACGCTATGTGTTTGAAATATAGATGAAAAAAAACAATGCATGTTTGCGTGAATTCTCGACTTAACGTCGTTTGATACAATCAGAAAAATCACAGCATATATTTAAAATTAAATGTTTATTGTTAACCTGGTTTATTAGGACTATCTGGTAAAAATGTGATTTCAATTTTGTTGTTTTCATTTTTATTATTATTCGATAATGTAATAGCTTTCTTTTGTTTTGCAAAGATTTGTTTTTTGAATAATATTATAAAGTCCCATATTTTGATCCGAACCAAGAGCCCACGCATAGCCTAATCTATGATAAGCTCTTCCAGCAGTTACATGATTAAAATTATTATCATTATAACACACCTTCTCAGTAAGTGTTGTAGCTTCGACTTCGTTAGATTTTTGGCTTTCTTGTGAGTATTGTACGGATGAGACTTGATATAAGTAATCAGTTGCAGAACTTAAACCGGTATCTGTGTACGATGTAATACTAACATCTGCTACCTTATTTCCATCACGATAGACATTATATTTTTGCGCACCTGAAGCTGAGTCCCACTGTAAAGTAATAGAATCAGAAGTGATACGAGTAACTGTTAAGCCGCTTGGTGTTTCTACAGCTGATGGTTCACCTGTTGTTTTAGCATTAACTGACTGTGAGAATATACTTTCAGCTCCTGTTGATGAAACAGCTTTTACAGTATACACATAGGTTGTACCAGAATTCAAATTATTGTCCGTAAACGTGGTATCACTGATTAACTCGCTGTTAGCTTTACCGACATTTCTATAAACATTATAACCACTAGCACCTGAAACTTGTCTCCACACAAGAGAAATTGAATCATCTGTAGTACCGATAACATCAAGTCCTGTGGGTGTATCGATTGGGTTGAAACCACTCGTTATACGATCAATCATTTTTTTCATAGCAGTCGATTGTTTACCACTTTTGACATCAAAATCAGCACCATACCATCCAATCCAGTCCCAACATCCATTTGAATTGGGAAGTGTTGCTTTACTTTCTATGTTTTTCAGAGTTGTAGCTACTGCTTGTGGGTATAGAACTATGATATTATTGGTATCGGCCCAACGATTGTAGCCTGTATTTTTGACGAATTTATCACCAACTTTTTCATAGCCCTGTGCACAACCATGATATGCTATATGTAATTTACAGGTTTGTCCATCAGCACAGCTTTTAGGTACATAAATCCATGCGGTTTCATCCATTCCATAACTTCTTGGACTAGTTAGAAACTCTGCTTGACTAAATTCAATAAATGTTCCACTGAGTGCACCATTATTTCTTGGTTTTAAAGAGCCGTAAATATGTTCGAGTATTGCTCCTGCTCCATCAAAACCGCAGTTACTTATATAAGGACTACTCGTAGATCCACAACCATTATTACCAGCACTGTCAAAATCAGTTGGAAAAGTATGTGCCGATTTCAAATCTTTGTTAAATACAACATTTGTGCTCGGAATGAATTGACCATCGGTCACATAATATTTATATAACTGATTCATTACAGAAACACCAACAGTTGAATCCGAAGTTCCAGAAATCATATAAACTTTGTGCTTTGCAAGATTTTGAATGTTGTCGATTTTGTCATCGCTCCATGCTTTCGTATTTGAAATGGACGTAGCTATAGACGGAGTACTTGTGTACATACAACTTATGTAACTCATTTGAGCTCCACAATCATATGGACCGCCTGCTATTATCCCAGCACCTTTTATAGAGGCTGAAAATGCAACTTGTATTTGAGTTGCAAGGTATGCGCCAGATGATAAACCAGACACTGACGTCTCACTAGGATCGACGTTGTATTGCGATAGCTTCTAAAAATAAAAATATTATTATTCAAAATAAAAGTCATCTGAAAGACTTACTTCAGCTGCATAGCAACAGCTAATTAATAAAAGTATTATTGATATCGACATTGTCATGACCCCTGTTATGAAATTTATATTTATCAGCTTTTGTGAGTGACTTGAATTATTTTATTGTAATTTACGTCTAGACGTGAATAAGGTAATCTAAAATATTTATTGTTAGAATATAGTGTCATCACAATCAACTCTACAGAGTATTACAGACTAGACCATACAGTATGTAAATAATTGTGTATACGATATGCTTCATAAACAAGCTCTATTCGGCTATTGTATCCAAGCTATTTATATATGGAATAGTCTAAACGTCCTAATTTAATAGGTAAACCTTGTTTGATGCTTAATAATTATATTTTAAAATTCAGCAAAATTTGTTATCGACGTTTTACTTCAATAGTGCCATAGATCTTAACCTAATCTAATTATATATCACGCTGTCCTTTACGCAACGTGTTTTTTTTACAGGGTAGGAAAATATGTGACTTTCTTTCTCAAAAATAGATTTTGTTGTTCCAAAATGATTGGATATGATCTAGAGAACACATTTTTTTAAAGAAAAATATCTGAATAGAGAACCGTTGACTTCACTTTTTCGAGAAACTGTTTTTTTTTGTATAATATATCATTCTATGCAAATTAACAAAATGATCCAAAATACACAAATCAAGTTGATTAAATATTTTTCTAAAAACCAGAAATATCAAGGGTTTTTAGAAAGACATTGTGCAGTTTAGGAATGTTTGTAGTAATAGAGATTATATTATATCATGTATACAACAACATTCTGTCAACGTTTGGAAAATTTTTATAAGTTGGATGTGAATGAAATGTCTGTGGTAAGGAATTAGCCGTTTGGGTGTAGCTATAGGGTGTGAATGTGCAAATATGAACGTGCACCTCTGAGTTGGAGTGAAGAATAGACTAACGTCTATACCCGCACGCTACGTCATCAGCTGCATTGAGAAAAGTTCATTTCATATTTGGATATAACATACTCGCATGCATGTATGTGTATCGAGAGATTCATTATTCTTGAAAGCGAAAAAATAGGAGACAATATCAGTAAAAAACACTTTATTCTTATCATTTTGATTAGTATTTTATAGCTGTATTGTACTTAAATCCTGTTTAGACTATGAACCACATCAAATTTATGAATATTTTCGACGGTTTTATTAACGTTTTTGAGTCATTAATCTGTCAGTAAAAACGATAATAAGTGGAGATACAATGAATCGAAAAAGGTCGTAAATATGTCCGTATTTGGATTGAATAAAGGAAAAAACCAAAATTTACGTGTTTGCATTGTGCTATACAAAACGGGATGGACCTAAGTGTGTCTGTCATACATGCAGAAACACAACACACAAAACTTTTTCTTTTTTTGCCTTGGAAATCATATTCTACTGTCCATTTACGATTTGCAGCAACGGAAAAATACTGAGCAAATTATGATTGGTTTCTATCTGTAAAGGGAAGTTAACCTTTGAAAAAAAAGTGTTAAAATTTTTGGATTACTTGAATTTGATCATGAATATTTTCAGTCCTAAATTCAAAAATTTCTTCATAGTAGACTTGTACTTCACAGGCATACTTTATGAGTGACACTTACAATATGCGTCTGATTTAGTGATCTCGAAAGAAATCATTTGAATTATGTACAAACACTGTCTTACCGGGATTATCTTTGTTGGGAGATTGTGTTGAACATTTTTTATTAGAAAACATTATTTATGTGCCATTCTGAACAAAATTTGGTACACCCGCTCGTATAAAGCCTCTTTCGATGACACTTTTGGTTTATGTATGATAAAGAATCCTGTTTACTAGTACAATATCTTCTTCGATTAGCACAAGTCTAGTTGAACTGTGATTTAAAAATTCCCTATCGACAATATCAATTTTCATGATTGAACAGACGATGAATGGAAAAACTATATCTCAGAGATTTCGTAAAATTTTTCGCCGAACTTTTATTGAAGATCACTATGATGTGCAGCTCTTTAATGAGAAGCTTTGAGCCACTAGTCGCATGGTAATGATCACCCAATAAAAGTCATGTTCGATCATAATTTAGTCAGGTCTGTGTCGATAGGGAGTGAAATCATAAGTAACAGCTTAATATTCTAGGAACATGATTTATGCCAATGAGAACTTACCGTTATGTAGAATTCTGTGTTATCAATGATACAAAGTAATGAGTCAACCTTTGCGTCGTTCCTTTTTTCCGTCAAGACAAAAAGAAATAACACTGAGATGAATATATATATGTGGTTAAAAGTAATGAGTGCGAGGGTGGTTTATTATCCACAAATATTTACAAAAAACATAGCGCAAATTTTTTTTCAACAATCTTTTAACTTCATATTGATTCTGTCGATTACAAAAAGACGAAAACATTATATGCAAGTACTTATCAGCATTGTTTGATATTAATACCTTGAAAATCAAGTAGTTCGATGTTTCTTAAGAGAAATGATGTCATAACTATTACTATTCAATAGCACTGAAAGTATTCGTGTCTCCGTAAACTGAAAAAAGTAAAATTGAGAATTAGAAATAAATTCCTCAAATTCTTCGTCCTTAAATCAGTAACATCTATGTTTGCACTGACAACATTTTTTTCTAAGTATTTTCTAATATTTTATTTCTCAAAGGTTCTCGAATTTCGTTTTTGATTCTATTGTTCGGCATTGTCTTAGTAACTTTGACTGGTTTACCCTGCTTACTTCCAATTTATTTTGTTGATTTCAGATTACTATTCTGTCTCTTCTAACTTTCGTATTTCTCGAGTGCTTTTTCTTTATGCTACTTATCGATTAATTTATCATACTCATTTTTTTTGTTCATTTGCTTTTGGTCTACTCGAATGAAATAGTCGAGGAACTTGAAAGGGCACATGTAAGTTTGAGTGCGTCAGACTAATGATTTTCTGGTCATTTACACCTGGACCTAACAGATCAGACTAAGACTTCGAGTATAGTGCTAAGTCAGAGTGCTATTTCGTTTGACGTATTCTAATAAAACCTCCGTGAAGAGTCTCCAATCAGTTAACGAAAAATTGTTAGATTTTCCTACGCATACTTTTTTAACCAATCATCTATTAAACGATATTAAAGTTTATCATATCATAAAGTTACAGTGATCATTGAAAACCTAGCATTCCGAATTCGATCCAACTGAATGAATGGTGCAGCATCCGGTTTTATAGAAACATGCGAAACTCCTTCAAAGCTTTCCAGATTCCATGTAGTTATATATTGTCTTGTTTTGTCCGTATGTTGTTCACTGTCTTTTGATTATGCATGGGAAACAGATAAAATATTTATTCAAATATTCAAAGTTATTTCATTTGGAAATTTAAGAATCACTGGAGACTGAAACTAGGAAGTAATGTTTCAGATACAACAAAAAGATGCGTATCATAATGGATACCTTTCTTGAAAGTTGCTAAATAACATAATCAAAAAAATGAATTTATCAATGAAGACAAGTGAAAATGCATGTCAACGATATTCTCATCACGCCTTATTGTCTCTATTATCTCTATATGTGCATTCTAAAGTGACATATCGGCAACATTGACAGTGAAACAAAATAAGCAGATCAGTATTTTCTCTCGACAAGTTTACACGTGAAAAAACACAAAAAGCATTGACGAAAGAAGTATACCAGAATACATGCAACTGTTGCTCACTGAGCAATGATTTGACTTGAAATATTTTCCATACAATATTGAATAAAGAGCTGCCTGTTGACTCGACTCTCTTTCTCTGTGTGATACCTATTTGCATTACTCTGCAATTGCCTGTATTCACTATTGGTTTGTTCGGTAAGCATTCAAAAATATCTTAGGATTAAGATAAATCCATAACTTGATGTTAACAGTGACAAAGTATATTGGGTCGTTTGTCACTGGATACTTTATTTCACTATGAGTTAACCTGTTCTATTAACATGCAACATAAAGAAAGGTTTTTGCAGATAATCTATGCTCTGTCACTTGTTTAACACTTGATTTCCTATTTTATATGGGTTCATTATTATTCATAATATCGAATATTGTGATTAGTGTTCTCAATCAGCATTTAGTGAATTATGAACAGCAAGTCTTATCAAAAATCAATGGCAATCTTCAACTATATGTGCGCCGAGATTTAACAATTGTCTGTCGCATTTTATTTCTTAATTCACACCTGTTTCTGACTGTCGTGCCAATGTTTGTTTTCATCATACTCAATGTAGTTCATGTCGATCTTTTACCTCCCGGTTGGATACATCTGGGATTATTGATTCAGAATTTGTCCTTCTCTTGTATCCTAATTATACTGTTCTTGATTAAACCAAATCCAAGAAGAACTCTAGTTGATTATTTGAATAAAACATAACATCTTTTAGCGCTCAATACTAGTAACGTAATGTCGATAATAGGAAAAATCGTTATTAATTAAAAAGTGACTGAGACGTTGCTCTACATACATATGTGTATGCGACAATTGTAAGCCATTTGTATGATTTGACTTAAACTTTTTTTGAAAATTTCATTTATCAGTACAATGATTTCACGTATTTCAGTAGATATTACTATTAGAGAGATGAAGGAGACCAATGACTGTGTCACTACCATTATCAAAGATAGCCGAAGCTTCGAAAAAACGGTAGTTTCCAGATCAATTTTGAGAATCATCGAGTCATCGTAAAAGTACTACAGCAAATGTTGAAAAAAGCCTCTTTTAGAAAAACGAATCGAGAATGAATCTAAGCGGAACCATAAGCTATCCAAACATATCTTAAAAATAAAGTGCATATATTGACCCTTAATTCAGTCTATTTTTCAAACAAAATCTTCTGTTGATGCATAAAGAATAAAAAGAAAAGTGCACTTTAACATAAGTAAATTCACCTGTGTCGTTTGCAAAAAACTTTGCACGCCTAGCTAGATTTGTCTTTCAAAGAGCTTTCGATTCATATCAGATATATCTAGGTTTCTTTCTGCTTTGATGGAAAAACATGGGTATTGCTGTTAAAAAGCGTGACCGTACAAAAGTATGAGGAAACATTTTATCAGTATTGTGCTAAGAATTATCTTCATCAAGATATATTAGGACCTGAGATAGATAAAAAAAAACAAAAACCAACGTGACGAGACATACAAAAGGGAAGGTGTGTTTTGAGATTCAAACTTTTTTATTTTTTATCCAATAGCAAATATTGTAGGTTTACTTTTAAATAGCATTTTGTTTTTTTTTAATCAGTCTATTCTTTGGCTATAGCTGACTGAAAGTTCATTTATGCTGTTCTTCCGAAAAAAGCAATTTATAGCGGGATGGGAGCACGAGTAATTCAAACCAGTACAAGCAAAGTAAAAAATGCTGCATTAAATCAAATAGCACGTTTGGTAGCCTATTTGACGATAATACTATAAGAAAAATAGTGAGTTTTAACAGTGCTTCCTCATTAGAAAAAAAATCAGCTTCATTTATCGATGTCGTACTTGTTTAACTGAAATTTAAGTGTAAAAGTGACATCATTTTCACGCCATTTAGTGACAAACAATAGCTTGACGCCTGATTTTAGTAGCCAAATTAGCTACACCTGTGAAGTATATTTTCTGAACAAATGATTGAATTCGGTTGAGAATTCTATGTGATATAAGCTTAGCTACGTCTTTTTGCTCAAATGGTACAAATGGTTCGCAATCGTTTCATATGCATTAATGACTAGAAGAAGGAATGTTAGGGTTCTTGTGTGTTGGAGTTACGTTCTGCGAAGAACACGAAGGTCTGAGACACATTCACATCCATTGTCACTCTTCTTGCAGTCGATTAATAGGTCTTTTAGGATTCCTGAAAACTGAACTACAAAAAACATTTGACAATCTATGGCTACCATATCTAAATAAATCATTCTTATGACTCTTTACGTCGCTTCATACCACTTCAATCAATTTATCCGTCAACGACAATGTCTATTTGCTTGCAATGCTGATAACAAAAACGTTTAGCTAGACGATCATATTCTGAATATTTACAGCGATAGTATTGTTGAAATAATTACAAGCGCGTAAGCTGATATTGAAAACATGTGCATTATATTTCAATAGATTAAAGCAACAGAAAAAAAGTGGCCATTATTCAATTCATCGTATAATAGTGACGAAAGCATCCGATAAATATATAAGTACTTCTTAATACGAAAGCCTCATTGATAAGAACACAAAGTTGAATTCTTATAGACTTACTTTTATGTTTGATATTGTTCTATCAAATTAATGATCACAATAACAGTACACAACAAAATATTTTCATTGTTTTCAATAATCATTCTCTGTGGAGCAATCGTACAAGATGTATACAGCTGGGGTCTCATTGGACACGGTCTTGTTGCTCGTCTAGCTCAAAGCCAATTAACTGATGAAGCGTCTCATTGGGTTAAATCTCTTGTTCCTTGGTATTTATCAGGTAATTTGACTGCTGTAGCAGTATGGGCTGACGATATTCTTTATCCGGATACAAATCCGTTTGGTCATCCAAACTGGCAATGGAGCCGACCACTACACTACATCAATACACCATCTGGTATTTGTAACTATGATTCATCGAGAGATTGTATCAATGATATTTGCATTGAGGGTGCATTAAGAAATTATTCGAAACGTGTCATCGATGCCAAGCTCGACGATGTCCAACATCAAGAAGCACTCATGTTTCTTGTCCACTATGTTGGTGATGTTCATCAGCCGTTACATGTCGGTTTCGCAGCAGACCTCGGAGGCAATAGTGTCAGAGGTAAATCTTTATTTTCGAATTCAAAACAATACTAGTCGAAGTCGTACATTTTGTAATTAGGCTACTTTATGAATGAAACATTGCCAACAAATCTTCATTCATTATGGGATACTGGCCTGATCAGGATACGATTGTCGCGTCATTTCGAATCGGATATCACTAGCTATTACGAGTATATTCACGCGCTTATGCTTAGTCAAACATCGACCGGTAGCGATGACAATTTCAACCAATGGGTTCATGAAAGTTCCAAAGTGGTTTGCCAACAAGTCTATTTGGACGAAGCTAATATGACTATAGATGCATCGGTCAATTTCACATTGGGCGATATCTACTACGAAAGAAATATCGGAATAATTGAACAACGTCTTGCGCAAGGAGGTCGACGACTGAGTGTTTTGCTCAATCGCTTAGCCGCCAATCGTATAACGGTACCATCAAGATGTGGAAAATTGTGTTCGAACATGTTCGTGTTGATTTTATTAATTTATATTATGTTTAAATCGTTATTGACATAGACTTGAGAGAAAAAAAATCGCTTTTTTACGAAAGAAAAATAAAGAAAATGATTTTTCGATAACGTTTTGAACTGAGAAGGGTGTGGGTGTGGGTGTGAGTGTGAGGTGTGTACATGAAGAAGGAATAGAGAATATCTTCGTTCTCAAGTCCGCCCTTTCAGTCTAAACCTTCATATGATATTTCAGAATAATGCAGCCTAAGGACAAGCAAGTCTGGGTCCAATGAGTGTAACTTGTTCCAGGCCAATTTTAAAAATTTTAATTTTGAAAAAATTCTAGACTCTGAGAAGTATGAGGTCAAAACTTGAAAGTCATTTCAAGGAAATGGGTACGATTGATTTGTAGCTCATACTGACTTTGTTATTGCCATACTGTTATTTCTTGAAGATAGCATGAGTTGAATAGTAACCTTATCGAATATCGTCTTTTAATTATCGATGATGATACAGAAGTAGAGTAACCGACTATATAATGAGATACTGCTTCTAAAACCGAGACATGTGTCAAGTGGATCATGGTCTGCAATGGAATCCATGGATGCATATGACTATCCTTTGACATCCTATTAACTCCATGAGTCAACGAACAAACTTGAACCACGCATATGCCAACCGGGTTTTTTCGTGGGCCTGAAATATCCTATGCTTAATTGGATCCCGCAATGATTCGTAGAAATCGTAAAATCGCTTCGTAGTTCATTCAAATGAATAATATTTATTACTAAACAGTAGAACTCAAGAACTATCCAATTATTTGAAATACAGCTAACTTCTTCAACTTTTCAAATAGGACTATTCTAGTAATTGAGTCTACACCAAGATCTTGATCTTCCATTGTTTTACGATGTGTCACAATAGCAGCAAGCATGGTAAGTAGCACGAGACATATCCGGCAACATAATTTATATGCAAGAGATGAAAGTTTGTGTATGTGTTTAAATGTTCTTTTGTGTGTAACGAACATGATCTGAATATAAAAATAAACAGAAGATCAATGACGTAAATGGGATAAGACAATAAGTCAGACTATTATGCGACAAAAATAATTTAAAACAACACAATTGTAGATAGAAGTGGTAGGCTAGCATTAATATGAGTATCAACTAATACTTGTTCTAACACATGAGAATTGATAGGAACATTGAAAATTAATAGATTGATATTTGTTTAGAAAAAAAACTTATATCATGCTCACTGTATTAGCATTAACTTATTACTACTGAATAATAATACAGTTAGCATTAGATTATTTTTTTTCGAAATTGATACTTTAATATAACGCTTTCTGACAATCATAGTAGTATCGACTACGCAATTAATGAATTCTTGTGGAACCAATAAATATTTTTGAAGTCAATCGAGTATCGGCTTCGTGTCACATTGTCTTTAAAAAGACCGATATCTACTTTTCTTGTTCATTCAGTAGCAAATGGTTATTAATCTATAAATCCAAAATATTAGAATTTTCTATCAAGGTCATCTAGGATAATGAAATTCACACGAAAGACTACTACAAATTGGGTGACATAATTCACGATATACTATACTTTTGAGAGCATTGGTGACAGTGAAGCCATGGGGATGGACATGATCTCTT